GCGTGGGGAAGTCATTGGCAGGGCCTTGCAGTGCGAGCGCCCGTGCTCTGCCTCCACAGGAACCCAGGCTAACCAAAGAGAGATTACAGCCAAGAGAGTAAGAGGAGGAAAAAGATATCCAAATAATACAAAAGCCTCTTCCAGTGCCCCAAGGCTCATTCCCGCACTCACCTGTGCTTGCCCAAATTCCAAACACGCACAATGAGCCTTACAGAGCGCTGAGGAGACACAGACACGTAACCCGCGGAGCAGGTGTACTGCCTGTTCCTTAGCATTTCCTATCATTACAGGAGGTTAAAAAAGGGGAATTAAAAAAAAAAAGAGGCAAAACATTGCATTTATCGATTTAAACAGGGTGGGCGAGAACCCAAACAGAACATTTGCGGCAACAGGTTTTGCACTGTGAACATACTGCCAAGGGAGCGGGGCAGTTTGGCTTTTCCCCAAGATCACTCTCCCTTTGTGCTGAGCGCAGGAAGGAGCCTGTAGTGGACAGCAGCAGCAGCGCAGGAGCCCAGGAGCAACTGCAGCAGGGAGCAACCCTCCTGAAATCTGCACGACGGTCAGAGAGGAGACTTCCCCAGCACTCAGATTGCGCCAAGTTTGCTCACTGGTATGCAGGGCCATGCAGATATTTGTTTCAAAAATCTTTTATTTTAATAAAAACATAGCAGATCTTGCTTTTGCCTCTTTTGCAAGTTCTCGCCATAGCGTATTTTGCATTAAAATTTTTTGTTTCCTTGGGGGGGGGGGGGGGGGAGAACACACTACTTAGCATTTCAGAGTGCCCACCCCTGGCCAACTCGGCATCCAGCTACAACATCTAAACAAAAAAACAAAACAAACAAAAAAGCCCAAACCGATCCCAAATCGCTTACTGGCACAGCACTTCCTTAACAAAAGCCAGAGAAAAAAGTAATTTCGTTTCAATGGAAATTTTTATACATATATATATGTGTGTGTACTTTTTTTTTTTAATATAAAGAAAGTCAATTATCTTTTGCCACAGGTGAGGCTTCCGCTAAATTTGTTCCCGGAGCTGTTCCAGTCCCACTAGAATCTGTTTTTCTCCAGAAAGATGCTGCCATTCACTTGCACCAGGCTTATAAAAGCAGCTATCAGCATCACAACCTCATCTCATATTTGTCAGTATTTCCGACAAGATATACTGCTTTACCCAAGGGAATCCTTCGTGCTGTTTGGTTTGGAGATAGGAGCAGGTATTCGGTCTGTTCCAGAGCAGCTGGAAACAATTTGTTCCATCAGGATTACACATCCTCCTCAAATGCAAAACCTGACCCGCTCGTACTCATAAATCTTACACTTGAACACTGTATTCACAAGATTAGCTGCTCATTAGCTTTAGTTACGCTAAAAACCAAGCTGTATTTCTCAAATCATAAAATCTGACTGCTCAGACTATTTTGCCATCTGCAGCGGGCTCACATAAACACTTGCCCTCTTTGTTCTCATTCACTGAACCCCCAACTCCTGCTTAGAAGAAAGCAGCAGCAGATCTCAGGCATATGCTGAGCTAAAGAAAAATATGTTTTTTGAAGAATATATATATAGAAAGATGAGAAGATCGAAGATTGCTAACTTATGCAAGACTGTAAAGGTGAAGTTAGTCACACATTTTCCAAAAATATCAAAAAGTCAGTTCAAATATCAAAAGAGCCTGCTGCTAATTTTCACTTGCCTCTTTTCTGCCTTGCTGTCACTCAAGATCTTGCAGACACCGAAATGCAAATTGTGACGAGAGGCAAAAGCCAAACAACGCTGAAACCTCCATCTTTCTTCAAGGACGAAACTACATCAGAATGATTTCAGCCCTTTTCCTCATCGTGCTATTTCAGAGGAATAAATGAACACCACTGCTAAACATCTCTACCAGTTCCCACCTGCCTTGGAAATAGGGGGAAGACACCACCGCGCTGTGGGTCCTTCTGCAGCAACTCAGGGGAGAAGGCTTGCGCCCCAGGCTCGCAGATCCCAAGATCCCAAGCTGCCAGCTGGACCGTGCTCACTTAGCTCTTCCCCCACCTTACAGCTCAGCATCAGTATTTCTACATAAATTTTAGCTCAATTTGGGATCATTTTCCTTCTCTGGAAAATGATACGGAGCTCTCAAACCTGTAAAATAAAAACTTTGCAAAGAGAAAACACTTGTTGCACAAGACCTTCTCTGTAGGGCAGGTATGTATATGCCTAACTAAGGATGTCCCACAACACTTACTGCACGCCACGTGCCGTACCCTTCTCTAGCATGGCAGCACCCCCTCCTCCTCCTCTGGAAGAGGATGTCCATTTCTGAGGAAGAAGAAAGCAGGAGAAAATTAAGAGCTCCACATTTGGGGACACAACACACTGAGCTGTTTTGGCCACGAGCCACACGGCTAGATAAAGCCAAAGATATTATTCTCATCTTACACAGTTGTTAAACCAGGCCATTAATACTATCTCAAGCATTATCACCCATTCCCTTAAAAAAAAAATTCATTTGAAAAATTCATTCAATTCATTCATTCTGAAATCCACCACGTCTAGGACTCTTTACACATATACTACTATAATCTAATTTACTACTAAATGAAGCTTCAAGGTCTTATTTTTTGAGTGGTTCTTTAAGAAAGTAGCTGCTTGAAATTGTTCTCATGGTACCTGAAGTTGGTCTGATAAGGAACTTCAGAGTAGAAATTGATGTGTTTATTCCTATCAGCAACAACAGCAGACAACCATCTGCAGAATTTACATTTTCTGTATCTACAGAGTGCTGTTTTGCCAGCACTCCGTTTCTACTTGCAATTTAACCTCTTTAACCAGGAATTAATGGTTCATAGGAATTCACAGTTAAATAGATCAATTAAATCCCTGCAACACACACAAACCTTTTAAGGAAAAACATTCCTCTCCCCGTTACATTAAATTTAGCCATCTTTCCTGCAGGACCAGTTACATACAAACGTTAACTTTTAGTTTTCTAAATACTGAACCAAACATGACAAAGCTGAGGAGGTTTACTACGCCATTCAGCCAGAGGGATGTAAGCTTTGTATTCCTCTTAGATTTTTTGGTAGAAACTCCAAATAAATCTGTATGCTCAGCATCTCGGCTCACTTTGTGCCATTCTTCCCACCACATTCCCCTGACAAGTAACTCCAGGGCTGATAATGCATTGGGGGGGGGGGGGGGGGGTGTGCGCGTGCCAACACTTACCTCCTGTCATCTAGCATACTTGACACCTTCCCAAAAGGTGAAATAGATGCAGTTATTTGCATCTATCTGCAACCCCAAGCTTGCAATCCCAAGGCTACTTCGACAGTACATGCGTTTAAAAAAAAATGACGTTAAGAAATACCATAGTATTGATTCTTGATATCTGATTTTTTAATGCCATACATACCAGACTATTTTAACCACAGGTGACTAATTACAACGCAGGTTCCCCACAGAAGTTGCACAACTGAGCAGTCCCACAGCATGCACGTGTTCATTAGCCACCCTTACACTGTGAAAGACAGACTTCTTTTTCCCCCTTTGAAATGAGCACCATATGAACATGATAAAGCTGTCTACTTTGAAACTAATATTGCACTGTGCAAGTTACTTTTTTTTTTTACATGCAGTCTGAATGCCTGAAAAAGTATAGACATTCCCTGTTCTGTCACCAGGCCCCCATTTCAGTAGCAGCTGTTTTACCCCAAGTTTTTACCCCCACACCCTCTGCTCAGCACGCAGACAGGATTACCAATATAATTTCCTTTTGCTCAAACTAATCATTTCTAAGTTGCAGCCGGCAGACATGATTGCCAAAAAAAAAAAAACAAAAACAAAAACCACCCACACAACACAGGGAAGAGCGAGCCTGCTGTTAAAAGCCACTCCTGTAGAAACTTAGCAGAGGTTTTTTGTATATAGATGTATTAACAATGTCGACAGTGGTTTTCTCCCTTCTCTCACCAGTAAAACCTGCAAACCCTCTTCCATCTCACCTTCTTGAGCAACTGTGATTCCCAGCACCTCTCCTTGGGATTATGAAGGGAAGCAGAGAGACCTAGGCTTTGCTCCGCACCCATGTATGATGGAGCATAACCACGTGCAGCATGCTCAACTGCCTATCTTACCAGGTTTTGGGGGGGGGGGGGGAGAGAAAAATCACAAAACAACCACTAAATACTAATCAGAAAATAGCAGAAATTCATTCATGTCAGAGGTCACCACCACTTGGGCAACAACTCAATCAGGCAAGTAAGCACGTCATCGCAGGACATTATGCTGCGTCGATGTAACGTTGAAGCTAAAAAGCAACAACTAGGAAGTAGCACAGCTTGGCGAGAGTATAAAAACAGAAAACCACACACACCCCTACACTACTAAATACTTTCTTCTTTCACAATTCCCATGACTACATACAAGCAAGTTCTTCTGTCTTCTGAGCTCATGTAATAATTAAAGCTGACAATGAAACAACAAGCGACTTTCTAAAAGCTGGCATAGGAAACCCAGAAGAGAACAATGCTAATATTCTTATCGAGCTTCAGAGACTCAAGAGCAGCTTGGCCTTACCTACCCCATCAAGCCACTAAAAATGTAAAGATTGGCTCAGCTTCCTCCTCCAGTAAAATCACAGAGATAGAAAAACTTGGTCAGTAAGAGTAAGCTAGCAGGCTGGCAACAAGGCAGCTAAACTCATCCTGCATTACAAATAACCATGGTGTTAAGCACTCATTAAAGCTAAAAGCATTCTCGCAGATGCTATTTAGAGCCCAAGAAAAAAAAAAAGTCAAAACATATACTTTCCCATGAAATCAGGGAATCTTGGCGCGTTTTGGGTCATTTTTGTATTTCCACTTGACACCAACGCTTACAGATTTCAGAGACCAGTCCTCGGTGCAAGAAACACAGGCGTCATTGCTGCCGAGTCGGCCGCCCCGCTCCCCACGGGAGCTTCTAAACACGAGTCAGCTCGTAACTATCACTTAAAACAGAGGCATACTCACCGTTTCGACTTTCTTCATCAATAGGGACTATTGTGGCTGGAGGACCTGTCCTGGCCAACTTGCAATCTATAAGGATGAAACGAGAAGTTATTCATCTTCCCAGAGGATGGGCCTTACAGAGTATTGTTGTTAAACAAGCTAGAATACCAAAAACAAGTGTCACTTAAACATGGCATATGCATAGGCTACAACCGTTAGCTAGTTTTACGTTCACAGAGGATCAAAACCTGAGCTGTTCCCTCACTCAGCTAAAACTTCACAAAGCAAATGAGAATCTGAGAAGAAAGGCCTGAAGATCTCAGATGTTGATCTGTATTTAAAACAAACACTTCAACAGCATAATCTTAACATGGTGTGTAAAATTATCTCTTAGGTGAGCCTTACTTGCCATGTCACGAACACACGCTGTTGTCACATAAAGATACAGCACGGTTTGAGGGCTACGCTACAATCCTGCTGACGCCTTGCTCTAGAGATACCCCCAGGGACCGTAGTGAAGCAGAAGTCCTTCAGGACAGAGACAATACGATGGTAATTTAACCCAAAGAAATAACAAAGGCATGATTAAAAAGTAGAACTCATAATTAAAGCTTCACAACGGAAACAAACACAATTTGAATCTAATTGCAACAGAGGGATCTAACTAAAGAGAGCGAACAGAAGTTTAATAGCGTTCTAAGGAAAAAGAAAATAAAGAAGCCAAAAAAACAAAAACAGACAAGCAATGTTCAGGAAGTTACATTTTGCCATCTTACCCTCATATTGCCAGTCTGGAGTCAAAAGTTTACAGTCATCAATGGAAGCAGAGCAGAACAACGAAAGAAAATAAGTAAGATTTTGTTGTTTAGCTTAAAAGATAGGTTCAAAGACACAAAAAGCAGTACAGGCAGAGCTAGCAGATTCATAGGTGAAGTCTTTAAAAAAAAACAAAAAAGGGCATCCATACCAGTTGCGATAACTGCATTTGATGAACAATTTGACTGTCTGCATTAAATAGAAGACAAGTATTATCTCTTCGAGTCATACAGAAAAAAGTTAATCAAGAAGCACTTTTTTCAAAGAGCCTCCAAATAGCTCTGAAGCAGCGTGACAAGCAACAAACATTCTTCTTCCCGTTTCAGGGCAAAGAACTGCACGTGAAAGTACAGCCCACACTTTTAAAGACATCCACTCTTCTGGATCATCCTTACAAGGCTCGAGTGCCTGGAGTGGCTACACCTCATCTATCAAGAGCGACACAGGTTTTAATCGGTTTCTATATAGGAAGAGAGAAACTAGGTTATCACTGTATTTTCTTAGAGGTCTAAACACTTGACGCCCAATCCTCAGAGACAGACATCTGTAAAGAAAGCAGCAGCAAGCAGAGGTAAATGCCGTCTGCCAGCAAGAAACATTAAGCACTCCCCAGCTTCAGTGGAACTGCCCAGCAGCTAGTTACAGGCTATAACTATCGAAGCACAGCCAAGGCCCGGGAAGAAAGATCAAAATAGCAAAGGATGAATCCAGATCTCTGTTTAGGCCAAACCTCTGAAGGACACGTTTGTAGCACGGTATTGTCATCCACCAACAGCTATACAGCTTATATCGGTGGTAGTGCTTGCACAGCTGCATGCATCAACTTGGTTTGCTGTCCTACATCATTGAAATAATTTTGTTTATTAAGAAAAACTCCTCAGGACTCATCCTATTTACTCCTGCATGCTATAGCCTGATACATAAAAACTGAATAATTTTTGGTAATAGCCTTAAAGCTCCCCCCCCCCAAAAAAAAAAAAAAAGCCTTGAACAGAGCAAACAGCCCATCTGAGAAGTACAGCTCTCATTTCATTACGTTTTGCATTGCTAGGAGCATATCCATGGGAAAATGAGCAGCGTTCGCATATCTGCCCAAAGTAGGGATTATTCTCCTCTTCTTTTCACTGTGTGCTATAAATATAACAGGAGCACAACACGCGCAACTTCTTTTTTCCCCCTCCAAGAGATATTTATCATCATGTAGAAGTTTACAATTGCAAACTGAATGACCCTTCAACAAAGTTTTTGTTAGTGGAGCACAGATCACCGATAGCTACTTTTAAACGCCTTATGAACACTGCCTACCCAAGAGCCAAACGAGGGGCGTCTTTTCCTTCTAGCAATAACATATGCCTTACCTAAAGGGCAACTAGGATTCTTCTTGAAAATTGAAAAAGGCTTTTTCATCACCTTTCCTTCTATGATTATGTTTTGCCCTCAGCTTGCATCTCACTGAACATTTCACACTAAGCAGGGCTCACTTCTCCCCAGTCTCTGACTTATTGGCAATTTTGATGCTTCGTCCGTTTGCAAGCAGCCTTCTCACGCGATTGGTGTCCTACCAAACAAATCAGGAGATTCAGAATTATAATGAAAACAGTACTCTATACGTATATGTATTTTTAAATGAACGCTCAGTATTGAAATCTGGATGACGGCAGTCCTCAAGGAAGGTAGATTTTATAGGGAAGTTCAGCACTTTGCAGAGGATTTGCTACAGGTGTGAGGGGAGAAGCATTGAAACGTATCTCATTGTTGAAGAAATTTCAGTCAAAAGCAGAGCAGACTCATAGCAGTAACTATTCTATAGCAGGGGAAGAAAGAAGGTAAACGGGACGTGCAGCAGCAATCTAGCCTATGGATTAGCCTCACGGCACCAGTAAATAATTCCTGAAGAAACATGCGGTTTTATTGCACAGATAGGAAGCTTACATTGTATCATTCGGTATCCTTTCAACCATGGCAGGACTAGCCAAACATCAGGTTGCATTTTGGGATGTTTGTCACCCCCTCTTCTCGGAGGCAGAGGGGCCTTCTTTAGCCTCAGGTTCCTCAGTATATACGGACCAGGTTAGTTTAGAATTCACGAAATCCCAAATCAAAAGGGACACATTAGTTTTAAACGTCTTAAATTTTTAAAATAGTTTTTTCTTTTCCTTTTTTTTTTTTTTGCACGCCCTCCCTTCCTTTTTAATAGTATGGTGTTTTATTTGTTTGAGAGCATCTATATAAATCTACTGTGTGTTTTAATTTCTCCTAATTTGACACCGTTGATTATTAGCAGAATATTCACATTCACCTAGCCAAACATTGACATTAATAGGACCGTGGAAATTGCTAAAATAGAGGAGTTTCTATCCATCAGGTCCACAGCCCCTCAAATGGCAGCCCTGCTTCAGAAAAACCGCGCCCAAGGACATCCTCCGTATTGTCTCAACCAACTGAAGGACTCTGTTGGAAGCGCGCAGAAAGACCATACTGCAGCACAGTCTATTTGTTCTATACTTATTTGTTCTTTTAATGAAAAAAAGTTGACCTTGGAACTCCTGGGCATAATGGAGCAGCCACGGAAGTCAAATCACACTAAATTAAAAAAGCAACACTAAGAAAGGCAGAAAACGCTCTGCATAAATGAAAGAGAGAAAATACAGCTTTTCTTTCCTTTCCAGCTGCTTCAGAAATACCCCATTATTACTCCGCACTATGTTATTTTACATTTTACCCTAGATTCAGGGTTGTTTTGAAATATTCAGTTATAAGTAGATGGAATTAATCTTTTGTTTATAGATGGTCATACAGAATATGACAAGTGCTAATCTCAAAAAACTGACTCAGTCCGTAACAGATATGCAGCCTAGTTTGAAAGACTTTATTCCATAAAATTCTACTCAGTAGCTACTTTTTTTTGGTAATAGAATACAAAGTTATGTTTTTATTCCTCAGCCTCGTCACTCTAACAAAGAATATACCCTAAACGTTATCAGTAATTGTACCAGGCTATGTTACCCTTCAGCATCAATCCATTAGGTACCTAGGACTCCTGTCCCAGGCCGGAAATTGCTCTTTACAATTACTATTTCAGCAACTTTTATTGTCCTAATGAAGTTCAGAACGTTAAAATAAATACTAATAATTATTCAGCATTAGCACGCACATCTAATCCGAGCTGAAAACCCTTGAAAGGTGATGCTAATATAGGAGCTTTCCTTTAAAGCTGCAACTCAAAGGACTGGATTCAGGCCTGACAAGAGTGACGTATTGAAGAGCCAAATTCTTGCACCGGCAAAAACTCAAACACATCTTCAAGCGCAGCCTACAGGCAGTACTTCAAGCATACAGCATTAACTCTTGATTTTTCCCCACCCCACTCCGAGTTAATTTGTCCAAATCCGTTCTTAACGCATGCAAACGTTTAGCATCCATTTCGTCTTGGAGTAAGCTTGTTTTGAACCTGGCCACTGCTAGTTCACGTGGCACCACCTTGCACAGGAAGAAACGGCAACCAGCCATTCCCTGTTAACCCTCTACACTTCAGCTACGACTTCAAATACGCCGTTTTATCCCTGACCTGTACAGCACACATCCAAAGTTAATTTTAAGCGATTTCAGGCTTCTGACACCCATTTCAGTGGCTGTGCTCTGAATCCAAAAAAGGTGATATTTAAAAAGCAAAAGCAGTATTAAAATTACTTCCCTTGATATCCCTTTGAAAGGTTATATACTTACCTCCACGTGTTTTACTTCCACAGTTTATTCAAAGAGCATTCAGAGAGACATCCCATGAAAGAGCGTCTCTAAGCACGTTCATTTACGGAACAGGGCTCCTAAGAGAGAGCTACATAGAACCATACATTTAAGCTATCTGAGTAACTAAGCAACCCAATTTAAGGGAAGAATGTCTCGTCTTGTTTCCTGTGCTAGCGAATTCAGAACTACAGCTGTGCAATTTAGGATAAGCTTGGCATAACCTTTACGTTAGCCGACTTGTACTACAATTGCTCTGTATTCAAAATAGTATAAAAAGGGCTTTCACAGGCTATTTTCAGCTCTTCCTGATAGACATCACTAATTCTGGAAAGGAGCGACAGTGAACTTGAGCACGATTCAAATACACTTGCGATACTTTGAAAACTAAGCTGGGTTGCTGTGCTTCGATTCAGCCTGCAAGTTTACTGCTCAGTCAGGCACTGCTCTATAACTCACAGCTCAGAGATTCAAGGATTCATGCAAAGGATGACGACTTAATCGCAACAAAACAACTCTCGCTAGTTTGGGTTTGGTTTTGTTTCCAACTAAGAAAAGGCGAGGCTGGTGGACAATCAAGTACTAAAAGGACACAAACTAAATAAGAATATTGGTATAAACTCTTGTTCACAGAGTCTCAGAAAACATAAGCTCATACAGAATATGCAACCTGAACAATAGATTTACTTTGAAGCTTTATTTCTCCTTTAACTTCTCCGGACAGATACAATATCTATCAAGGGTTTGGCATGTGAAAATTCCTCTGCAAGCGCTCTGTAATGCTGCTTTACTTTTACTGCTTTAGAAAAAGGCAGTGCCATCTGTCTTTCAGGTAATATTCTTCTAGATTGAAACAACTTCCCATTCTACCAGCAGTTTTGGAGTTGACTGCCTTTTTAAAATCATACTTGTGCCTGAAAACACTGTAAAACACATAAAAAATATGACACTATGCCAAGTAGCACCTGAAACCGCTATTACCGAAAGTAATTTTTAAGACCATTAAAATACACTGCATGATTCAAGAATGGTTGTAATATCTTCAGAAGTGCATGCATTTTTGAAGTTGACTGTAGCTGATTTTTAACAACAGCTATGCACTAAGCATTAAAATTTCATAGTGTTTGCAGTATTTTTAAAATTCCACTTTCCCTATTACTGGTGTAACGTGTTTAAGACAAAAAAAAGTCTCATTCAATAGGGTGGAAAAGTATTCACCATTTGGAAATAA